GCGGCAATAATTTGTTAGATACTTGTTTATCGACTGATTTGCATGAAACTTGGTATAACCCTGTATTTAGCCCTGGAGAATTTGAATTTGATGTCGAATTTAACCGGAATTGAAATCAAAGGTGGTGGGAAGAAGGTGGTGGCCATAATTTTTTTAAAATTAAAGATGGCGGGTACAATTTGAAAACTACCTATTTATCGGCAGATTTTCATGAAACTCGGTGTATCCTGATATTTTGATCTGGTAAATTCGAATTTGACGTTACTTTCAGTCTGAATCAAAATTCAAGATAGTGGAAAAAAGATGGCGGCCTTAATTTTTAAAATATCTGTTTATCGGCTGATTTTCATGACATTGAATATTACCTAGTATTTTGACTAAAGTTTGTCGGTTTTGGTTTGAAAACTTATAATATAAGGTAATAAGACAGGGTAAAAAAGTAATTGAGGGGCTCGGAGGACAAGGCACATAAGTGCAGATTTCGAAAAAAATGACACATTGGTGGTTCCAACTAATTCTAGGTTTAAAATAAAGTCTGTGAAAAATTCACCGGAAGCATCCAATGCTTAAGTGTGAGTTTGAACTCTCTTTCTGCCATAAGGCTGTGTATAATAGTTAGCAACTTTAAACATGTTTTTCTCGAAATAGCTCGACGAAGTGCACTTATACACCTCGTCCTCCAAGCTGTTTAATTGAGAGTATAAGTGTTAAAACGTAATTTTTTCAGTATCGTCGAATATTTAATTGACACAGATGAAGAAATACAAAGCCGAGTATTGAAATAAAATATGTTCTAACTTTTTACTCGGTCTATTGAAAGCTAAATAATATTAAATAATGTGCGAAATGATGTCGCATATTCGGCTGACAAGATGCCGAGGGCAGTAAAATTTTAATGTTTTTATTATTTTCCTTCTTATTTACTTAGATTTCACCATTTCACACGAGCCTGCAGTACGTCATGTAAAGCATAGGTGTGCATACCCCTCTCCCCTGTTGACAACCCCGCCCCACCCTGACATCTGTACTTTCGTTATAATCCTTGTTCGCGCTTACGCTTGAGTTAGCCGCCCAAAAGTTCCGAACCTTCAACGGTGTGTTGAATGTATCATAATAATTATTAGTTTTACTATTGATTCCTCCGACGCAAAAAGACCCGCTCCTCGAGCTGCCGCCATTACACAGCCCAATCCCTCATGTACAGCGCTTCCTGGCGGCGGCTGTGCTTGCATTGTAACTTCCCTCATATGTGAGATGTCCCATTCCGCAATATTTTTAAAAACCCTTAAATGTACAGATTTCGCCAAGCTCTGTCCTATTCGTTTATTTTTACGTGATTGTATGCATAAATACGATGAAATTTGCCTTCACTTTGTATGCGTGAAGTATCTGTTACTTCCGTACTGGCGGTCATAATATATCCATTTGCGCTCTTTGTAGAAAGCAGGGAGGAGGAGGTGGGTCAGTTTCCCCTCCTATTATTCATTTTATAATACGTTAATTAATTTTTGCTCTCCAGAAATTATTTAAATAACTTCTCACGATTGATGGAATATTTGCTGTTTTGATACGACCTTTTGAGGGATGGTGTTTTGGATAGAAACTCAACTTTCTGTAAATATCGTCATTTTTTACAATTTTAAATAAAGCCGTGTCAAACCCAAAAATTATGGAAATTTTTGAAACAAGGTACCCTATCTTATTGTAAATTTTATGTACTTTCACGTGGTTATAAAGGTTTTTTGATCAAACACTTTTAAAATGCTTAAAAATTAGGAAAATGGAGCTAAAAACGGACTTTTTTCAGAAAAGTGTCATTTTTGATCCCAGAAGAAATTATCCTACCGGCAAATATAATTACTTAAAAGGATGTTGAACATACTATTCTGGACCAAAATTTAATAAGAATATTGTATATACATTCTTTACTTTCATTTGGAAGGATATACTTAGACTTACCTCAAAGAATTGCTGACATACAGTTACAAGCAAAAAATCATTTAAAAACGAAATTTTGAAAATATTGGGGTTTTTTTGAGAACCCTGCATTGAGCTCAATTTTCATTAGAAAAATTTCAGACCGGGTTAGAAATGATCGCGATTTTATCTACTTTTATGTAGGATCTACATACGTAGTCATAAGAGCAACGGTTTTTTGCGATTATAGCCGAAAAACGAGAGAAAATAACCTATTTTTTACCGTTTTTTCGATTGGGGGGGAGGAGGAGGGGCTTGGAGGGGTTCCCATAATTTTTCGAGTGGGAAAATTTTGGATTCTCGTTTGGGAATCTGTATAGATGAGAATCCTGGTGAGAAAAAAAGTTCCGCTCTCAAAACTTGCGATAGTAGCACAACACTGAGAAAAAATAACCGATTTTTGACAGTTGTTACGATTGAGGGGGGGGGGTTGGAGGGGTTCCCATAATTTGTCGAGGGGACAAATTTGGATTCTCGTTCAGGACCCTCTTAAGATGAATAGTTTAACCATACTCTATGTAATTACAATCAATTTCATGCATTCTTGGCAATCCTGAACACATTTCTCGAGGGACGTTCTCAAAGTATATGAGAATGTCCAATGTCAATTATTTTTCTTCTCCCGCCATCACGTAACTTTCATTGAAGACTCGAAGAAAAAAGAAATATTTTTTTTTTGTGTCACTGGAAGTCTGACCTAGTGCTTTTCGCTTATTTAAAGGTTTTTTAAGGGGTAAAAAATATTGATCTTTGGGCAGATTTTTACAGAGTATGCGAAAACATCGGATGTCCAACACTCCTTTTTCAAATTACTCAGCTTTGGGTGGGAGTTGGAATGGGAACAGTTGTGTGCCTTTTATACAATCCTTTACTAAGATACCCATGCTTTGACTTTCTTCAAAACGTCGAATCTAAAGGCCTCCTTAGTATTTTGCGGTTCACCAAAAGTTGATTTTTTGGACAAAGGACGTTTTCGCATACGTTGATTCAATTAAAGCTTGAGAATCTGAAATTTGTCCCTTATTTTATTGCCATCATCATTGTATATATTTTTTGACTTAAAATTCCTGAAATCCAACATGTATGTTCTATCATTTTGCCAAGTACACTTCCGATTAGGTGTCCAATCAGCACCTGCGAGCATAGACAACATTAGGGTGTTTAAAAACAAAGGGGTCTTCACTTTTTTCCGAAATTTCAAGCGCCCCCCCCCCTCCCAGTCGGTTTGAATAGATAGAAAAAACAGTCGTCGTAAAATTTCATTGAAATGAAAGAATATTCAGGGATCACGTCAGATACGCGCCTCTCTTAAAAAAAGTTATTTTTAGGTATTTTTTGGTCGGCCCCATCTACGTGCTTAAAAAAGTTCCTGGGAAAACAATGGCAATGGAAATTTTTTTTGTGCAACTCTTGCAAATGTTATGCTTGTTTCTGCTGAAAATTACCTTATTTGAATGTTAAAATCCCTTGTAAACATCCCTTTCAGTCTACATCGAAAAGCTGTTTTCTCTTCAAAAAATTGAATCCTCCGACTATCGAGACCGCTGCGGCGGCGCAACGTAGCGCCGTTACGTGCTATTTTGCACAAGTTGTGTACCTTGCAACATTGTATCAAAAGATAAAACCAGGTTCCTTATAATTAGTTAACGGGGTACGCCTCCTGAGAGGATGATGCATAAAATTGGTGACAGATGCCGTTAGCATCTGCTTGAACCAACACATTGTATGAAGGAAAAAAGTAATACATCTATCAAAATTATTGTAAACAAGAAATACGGTTCTTCCAAGGAGGAAGGGTGCAAAGATGCTAGGATTAAAATATTTTGATTAGAACAGGGATTGGGAGTTGAGATTGCAGGCAAACTCGATGGTTAGGGCAATCTCACGTCGGACACGCGCGCCCGAATATATAGGCAATTTCCTGAGCTGCTGGTCTGAGTCTATCTTTGTCTTGAGTCCAACTTGTCGACATCGGTCTCTGCCCATCGAGTCTACCCTTACAGAGGATCCGTTGGCAGACTTACAGTAGCTGCAGGCTCTCTGGAGAGAGAGTAGGTCCGGTCTCAACGACACGAGACTTATGCTCTTTGCACACGTTGTAAGTTTAAAGTTGAAAGTGGGGGTCATCAGTGCATCACTCATCGATGAGGGTTTTTGCAACACATTTCACGGCATCGATTAGAGATTCACCGATGATCCCCACTTTCAGTAAAACTCTTGCAACGTGTATAAAGGGCAAAGGGAAGGGGTCCGTTTGGCCGCCGAATTCGGCTGCGCGTCAGTGGAAATTTCTCGAAAGTGGACATCGGGGATGTTGCGGGGAAGGCACGGGTAGGCTGTGATGCAGTGAGACAATATAGTCAGGGAGAAATACGGAAAAAAAGCGCTTAACCTGGAACAGATTGCATAACAATTTTTTCCTGTGTAAACGTCAACAGTAGGTCCTCCTGAACAACATACAAAAAGTTTACCACGGTCCGACCCCGGAACACCCCCCAAAATGACGAAAATTAAAAATGGCGACCATGATAAGGGCCTACGAGATTTCGATATTTTAAAATGTTCCTATAGTGTCATTTGAGGTATCGTTTCTTATGTAATTTTGGTCGCAGATTTCATTTCTGAAGCCCGAAAAGCTTCTAGGTCAAAGGGGGTGACCCAAATCCAAGATGGCGGCCAAATTTGAAAGGCAGCAGGGTCATTTTTCAACTTTAACGGGATTGGGCAAGTGAGATGTCGTTTCCTATGTAATTCTGGTCGTGCATTTCATTAATTATGTCGAAAGAGATCCCCGGTCAAAGGGGGTGCTCTAAATCCAAGATGGGGGCTAAATTTGAAAGGCAAGAGGGTGAATTTTTTAGATTTTTCTATAAAAAATGCGAGTGAGGTATACCAATTCTCATGAAATTTAGGTTGTAAATTTCATGTCTCAAGTCAAAGCAGTCCCTCCCCCCCCCCCCGCTAATAGGGAGTGCCCAAAATCTAAGATGATGGCTATATTTGAAAGGCGGATGGGTGCACTTTTGAAAAAAAATTTACCGCACAAGGCATGGAAGGTGACTATTCTGTGTATATTTGGTCAATGAACCTAAATTGGATGTATACATTTTATTTAATGAAACAAAGAGGTAAGTAGTACTTCCGAAAGAAATGTTACCTCAAAAACGCACGCTCGCTCTATAAAATTAACAAAAGGCAAAACATACTTGTTCCCATACTATTACGTCTTCAGCATTCCTTGACAATCTCTGCGAAAGGATTATACAGTTTTTATTCGCCCATTTCGTATTACTGGACATAGCATGGACTTAATTAAAAGCGACTTATCCTTATTCGGCACACTCTTCAAATCTACGGAGTAAGGTGGTACATACGAAAGATTGCAGATCTTGATATCACTGAATAGGGTGTTGCAGCTTGCAAGAGCACCAACATCATTGTAATAGGAGAGGATCCGAACCTATTTTTTTGTTAAATCGATCAGAAGGCGTCAACTTTTCTTTATTCTTTAGAAGTAATATTTAACGCTACATCCAAAACTATGGCTCACAACATCTCTTATATCTGTCACAGATTTAGTCAACGTTTATGTAAGCAGCTCCTGTTCTTGAATGAGTTTACTGGTTGCGACTTGACCTCTCACATGCATGGAATCAGAAAAGCAACTGGAAAGCTGAAAAAGCTGTAGCAATACCTCTGTATCCCAAGTAGCAAAATATAATTATTTTCTAGAAAAAAAATGTTCAGAAAATTTCTTGAAAAAACAAAGAAAATGAGAGTTATCCAGAAAATAGAAAAAAAACATCGCAAGTCAAAAGTCTGACCAAAAAAAATAGATCTATTTCATAGGTCTACTTTCTGTCAACTTCCCATTTGGAAAAAAGATAGAAAATTTATTGAAAGTAGAATTATTTTCTAGCCAATTTCTTAATATTTTCTTTTAAGAAAATGCAAGGAAAAAATGTATTTTCTTTCTAATTTCTTGTGTCTATTTTCTAGATCTACTTTATACATATTTTCTTTCAAGAAAATTGTTCTATTTAGTAAGTAGACATTTTCTTGATGAGCGCCACCTAGAAAGAAGATGATAATGCTACTTGATATGGTGCCAAAAAAATGAGACTTTCAAAGATGTATGTCATCAGGTTTTCAAGGAAGAATTTGCATCTTCCAAAATCTTTATCACAAGTGGAGAAATTAATTCCGACATTATCAGCCATGAAGCACCATCAATTTAGGAACTACTTTCGAAACCAATTGATGACGAATTAGCCGATCTAGATGCTTGTCAATGGGGATGAATGAATGAAAACAACGAGCTTCATTCCATTTTCTACTGACTTGCCTCCAGCTCCGGAATCGCTGCTCAGTTAAATCTTCGGGTGTAATTTTAAGAAAGGGTTTGACACATGCGGTGTATTTGTAAGATCATGCCTGGACTTTCGCAGGAGCAGAAGTTCTGAAGACTCGGACTCCAACTGTAAAAACTCAGAGAAACCTGAGGTGGACAGTCCTGACAAGCCTGACACAGAATATGAATCAGCACGCTCTTTCAGATTTTCTCCTATTTTGACTAATGTAGATCCGTCAAGTTCAACGTCCTCATCTTGATTGAAAATTGATGAACTTAAAAATGAGCAAAAATAACTCATCAGGTGCTCCTATTTAATTCCTTATACCGTGAGCAGGC